GGTTCATATGAAGAAAGAGGCATCACAACCAAGGGACTTCAGACCTATTAGTTTGGTGAACAGTTTGTACAAGATAATTGCAAAAGTGTTGTCTCTAAGAATAAAGAAGTTTCTCCCTTCCATAATTGCACCTAACCAAGGTGCTTTTGTGATGGGAAGACAAATTACCGATCAAATCTTGATTGCTAATAAGAGTCTGGAGAGCTTTAGGAAAAACAAGAAGAAGGGAGTGGTGTGTAAACTAAACTTGGAGAAGGCTTATGACATGGTTGATTGGTCTTTTCTATTGGAGGTGTTGAAAAGTTTTGGCTTTGGAGACAGTTGGTGTAAGTGGATTTGGGGTTGTATTAGAAGCTGCCACTACTCTATCTTGGTGAATGGAACTGTGGTGGATTTCTTCCCCGCCTCGAGAGGAATAAGACAAGGTAATCCACTATCCCCTTTCCTCTTCACTCTGATTGTTGATGTACTTGGGAGATTGATTCAAAGAGCAGATTCAAGGAATTTAATAAAAGGATGGAGAGTAGGAAGGGAGGAGATACCTCTTACTCATCTGCAGTTCACGGATGACAATCCTTTTCTGCGAAGGTGGGGACATTGAGTGGATCCGGAACCTAAAATTGGCAATACAACTCTTTGATGAGGTATTTAATCTCAACGTGAATTTGGATAAGAGTATTTTGGCGAGTGTGAATTTGGGGGAGAGGGAACTTAGAGAATATGCAGGTGTGTTAGGGTGTGCAACCTTGGAATGGTCGATGGCTTACTTAGGCCTCCCCCTGGGAGATAACCCTAAGAAGGTAAGCTTTTGGAACCCAATAGTGGAGAGATTTGGCAAAAGGCTTGCTTCTTGGAGGAAAAATTATCTTTCCTTGGGGGGGAGAATCACTTTGATTAGATCAACCCTAGCTAATCTTCCTGTGTATTTCCTATCAGCGTTTAAGATCCCCACAAAGGTCTCTAACACTTTGGAAAAGCTTATGAGGGAGTTCTTGTGGGAGCCTGGAGAGGAGAAGTGGGACCATAGGGTGAGTTGGGAGGTGGTAACTAGAGGTAAAAAGCTAGGTGGTCTTGGGATTGGGAATGTTAGGAAGAGGAACAGGGCTTTGTTGGGGAAATGGTTATGGAGGTTTCCGTTGGAAAGAGACAAGTTGTGGACAAAGATTGTGGCTAGCATACACGGGTTGGAAAACAATGGTTGGGAACTTGGAATCTTGGCAAGGACTATAGCCGCCTCTCCTTGGTCAGCCATACACAATCTGCTTCCAGTTTTTTCCCCTTGTATCAGGTATGGTCTTAACTCCGGTAATAAAATAAATTTTTGGGAACAACTTTGGGTCAGGGACTCACCTCTGATGGACCAATTTCCCTCTTTGTATGCTCTTTCTGATTTGAAAAATGAACCCATTTCTTCCTTCTTAAGCCCCTTAGACTCTCCTTCAAGGTTTGGGTGGAACCTAGGTCTGAGAAGGGCAATTAGGGATGCAGACTTGGACCACCTTTTGTCTTTGTTAGCTATCCTTGAAAATGTTTTCTTGTATCCCAATAAGGAGGACACCAGATTTTGGGTTCCCTCCTCTTCAGGTGTTTTCTCTTGTGCCTCATTTTTTGAGACTTTAACTTAGCCTTCTGATCCCATTGGGTTGTCTTTCCTGGTTAAAGAAATTTGGAGTAGACCCATTCCTCCTCGGGTTGGTAGTTTTTGCTGGGAAACTTTTCTGGAAAGAATTAACACAAATGGCCTACTTCAGAAGAAGAGACCCAACTCTTGTTTACTTCCTAATAGATGTAATCTCTGTAAAGCTGATGGGGAAACTGGTTACCACCTTATGGTTACTTGTTCGGTTGCTAAATCAGTTTGGGAGTGGGTCATTTCCCTTTTTGGATATGTTTGGATACCCCCTGGGAGTGTCCAAAGCTTGTTCTCTCCCTCCTTTTTCAGATGGTCGAAGAAGAGAGGGAAGACTATGTGGAGAAGCATCAGGTCTGCAGTGTGTTGGACTCTATGGGAAGAAAGAAATTCACGAATATTTTCAGATAAGGAAAGAACCATCGGAAACTTATTAGATCTAATTGGAAGGAGATAGCTTCCTCTGCCCTCTGTAAGAGGAGTTGTAGTCCTTTGTGGTCCCCTCCTCCTTCTGGGTTCATAAAACTGAATTTTGATGGCAGCTGTTTAAGGAACCCAGAGCCTTCTGGGATTGGGGGAGTATTCAGGAATGAGGTGGGGGCTATTATTGCTATGTTTTCAGGCCCAATTGGGGAAGGAGACTCTCTTGGGGCTGAGATCCTCGCAGCCCTGGAAGGCATCCAAAGAGCAAGGGAACTGAGCATCAGATGTTTGGTCCTTGAAGGTGACTCGGAGGTGGTGATTAGGTGGCTAAAAGGGGGAGACAGCGGCTTATGGAGTTATAACAATGAGAAGAATAAATTTAAATGGCTGAGTAGGGATATGGTGGTTCATTACAACTGGGTGAAGAGGACTGCAAATTCCTTTGCTGATGGGTTAGCAAAGCAAGGGGTGAATAGAGATTTGATTTTTTGGGCTAATTTTTTATTTTTTCCTTGTACTCTTTGATGAGGAGTTAAGTCTTTTTACCTCCCCTTTGTACCTAAGCTTCATATAGTTTCATATCTTTAATAAAGTTTCTTGTTATTGATCAAAAAAATATTATAGAACACATTATGTTTCTATTATGTCCTAACATGGCCTGAACCTCAAACTTCGATCAATTTCTTACACAACGTATTTTTACCAGACTCTCCAAATGGGTTCCATATCAGTATTGGATTTTCTTTTAACATTAATAGATCCAAGAAGCATCTACAAAATAATAAAATAAGAGCAACAGTACAGCACTATAGTATATATTATTTCTCCATGGTTAAGATTACACCCTTCTCCAACTAAGAGGAAGGAATATGTGGAGAAAGCACTAGAGCATCTTTTCTTTGGACTATTTGGAGCAAAAAGAACTTGAAAAATTTGAACAATAAAGCTCAAGAGGTTGGCATCAGTTTATCTTATTGCAGTAAGGATGGAAAACTGCATTTCTACATTAGAGGAATTCAAGGGTATCGGTATGGATTCTATATTGTAAGGGTGGCAAGTGGTGGCAGGTATTGTGCAACATAGAACTCATACTCCTCTTGCTTGGAGTGCTCAAGAATTTTGATGGATACTCTTTCGGCAATTCGGAACCCCCTGGGGTGGGAAGTCTGTTAAGAAACCATTAAAGAACTATGTTGTTCACTTCTTCAGGTCCAGCGGGAGATGTAAATTCTCACAGAGCAGAGCTTCTAGTCTTCAAGACCTAAAACTGCTCTTCTTCTCTTGCTGGAATGATGTAACAGAAACATGACTCTTTGGTGGTCATTGTCTAGATGTCTTCAATGGACAAAGGCCCTTTGAAACTCAGATTTCCATAAAGAAGCTAAAGCACTATATCCACCCAGCCTGAATAGCTCATTCAAGTGGATCCAAAGACCTCTAGTGCTTCTGTTGTTCATTAGCCAGAGAAGGCGGCATGTCAAAACTTGAGTGGGGATGGGGGACTGGCCCAAGGGTACATGTTAGAGCTGATTATAGTATTCATTTTCTGGGAATTTGGGATAGCTACATGCCGGTTTTTTGTTGAGCTTTTAACTTTTCTTACTGCACTTCGTTATACTGTGCAATGCTTTTGTCCCCTGCTACATTCTATCATCTTAAAAAAAAAAAAACAGTTTCTGTCCCCATAAATATAGTACAAATGAAACCTCAAGCTTTGTCATTCCCTTGCTCACAACATGTCTCTACCCACCCCTTTGGGGGAGGTCCTGAGTGCATCTCACTCAATCAATATATCCCCTCCCTTGCATTTGGATCACAAGTGCATCAGATGATGCTTGTGTTGGATTTTCATCATAAGTTCCACATCCATGCTCTTGCTGCATCTCAGTAATAGAGACTAAACATTGTTCTCAACTTCTCACACTCGGTTGAAAAACACCACTTATCAAGTTTTGTGAGTGCTGGTTCAAACCTTGGAAGTTCCCCTGGATCATGAAGACCAGAGATAGTGGAGAGGACTCTTTGGTATAGCCAGCTTTTAAACCAAAAGCTTTGCTTAATTGACATAATAAGAACATGACAAGAAACATAGATATAATCATATAAAGCATTCAAGTCAAAGCCAAGAACACACTTCTTCATAAGTGAGCTAGTCAAAGCCAAAGAAAGAAAGAAAGAAAAAGAAGTTCAATGAGGACAGTTGCAAGTTATATCATTATGGCACAAGAACAAAGGAATGCATAACCTTCCATATTATGCTAAATGCAAAACATCTACAAGAAACAGAAGTGAAGAACCATGCAGCACGCAACCCTCTATCCAGAAAGTAGCACAAACAAAGATCAGAAAAGGCATATACGTTTAGAATAATTTCAATGCAAGCTTGATGGTTCAACAACAGAACCCCCATAGAAATCCTGGCTGTGTTGCACCAACACAGACAGAATCAGAACCCAACACATTCAATAGTCTAACTCAGCAATGTTAAAAAACCTGTATTTGTTGACATATACACAGAAATTGTTATATTACTAAAGTACTTCTTTTTTAATTCTAACATCATATAGCTATGGAAAAGGTTAAAAATTTGTCTTTACTAATTATTTTTTCCTATAAAATAGCATTCACCAGGTACGTTAGCTTTTCATATATGCCAACTAATCTAGGAGGAAAAAGAAAAAAGTTTACAAGACTAGAAGCTTCCCTCAATAATCCAAAGTGTCAGAATCCAAGACATTTCTGACATGGACACACTCCATCCACTCGGCAGAATCCATATAACACTGAATCTTGGGAATATACATTTTCACTTGCCAGCAGGAAAGACTAAAATTTGCAAATTAAAAAGACTATTGTTCAAAAGCAGAAACCAGTTTCATATGAAGCACGGATAATCAAAGAACTGACAATTATGTCATAAAAGGGAGAGGAAATGAACTTAAATTACCTCCCATGGATGGGGTACTGCACTGGCCAAAATTGAATTTTTGTACTGGTGGTGTCCACTGAGGAGCCTGGAAATTGTCAGGGCTTCCAAAATAAGAAAATACCCCATCAGAGACAGACTGGTGATGATGGGTGCACTGGTCACTCCTCACCCTGCCTCTGCTTCCTTTACCATTTGAGGATAATGAAGAACCACATAGTAGGGCTCCGTGAGATAAACCATCTGACTGGAATCTACAATCCCATCTCCTTGATGGAGGAGGAGAGAAGCTTGAGTTTGTCCGCCAACGAGGTTCACCAAGATCCATGGAGCAGTCTCTTCTTCCTGTATTTGAATTTGCTCCATGTGGCCCAGCGGCCACACAACAAAGTGCACCCGTCTTAGCTATTTTTTTGGTAACAGCAGTTAAGATGAGCTGTTGTCCAAGTGATGGCTCAAAAGCATATGCCCGCGTGCAAAGCAGAAGGGCATGGATGTCAGGAATAAAGAGGAGATTTTGAATGGAAGATTATGGAGGTCTAACACAAGAATTGCAATCTCAGCTCCCCAGAACTAAGCCCAAAAAGAATGATGCAGACTGATTGGAAGACAAAAGGTTATAAGTTTCCCATCTCTAAAGGAGAACTATACATGAATATTTTCTTCGCCAAGATACACAAGCAAGGATTTGACTATAGCTTAATAGTTGAACTTTCCATTTATAAAATACAATTTCCAACTTGTGACTTCCTGAACAGCTACTCTTCTCTATGTCAACTTAATACCCCATTTATTCTGTACAAGTATTTCAGCTAACAAAGTGAGTGAGCAGCTGATGTAAGTAGGGTAAACAATAAAATGTAAAAAATAAAGATATCAATTAAAAGATAATGTGGCAGTTCTATGGATTCCATTCATGAGTTTTTTTTCCACCAACAAAACTTAATGCCAAAAAAAAAGATTAATTGAAAAAAAAATTAATGTGGCAGTTTGATAAATGCCATTCCTGGATATTCATCTACCTTCCTCCTTACTAAGCTTTGTAAGTGCAGTAAAAGCTAAAATTACAAAGACCTTGTAAAGTAAAAGTAAATAATTAAGAGAAAAAGCTATCAACTATCCTTTAGAAGGCATACTATAGGCCTAGAGTTATGAATTAAGAAGTTGCACTTGTTTTGTAAGTTTGTGGAAACCATGGACCATGTTCTGGTACATTGTGAGTTTGTGTATTGGATTTGGGGAAGAATGTTGGACATTTTAAGGGTTAAGTTGTGTTTTCCAGCCGACAAGAAGGGACTCATAAGTGCTTGGTGGTCAAGGGGGTTAAGTAAGGTTGGCAGAGTAGACTGGAGCATCAATCCTACAACAGTTTTTTGGGCAGTGTAGTGTGAAAGAAATAACAAAATCTTCAAGGAGAGGAAGACTTCAAATGAGGAGGTTTTCAAAAAAGCTTCGGGCATGTTGTTTTTGTGGTTAGCAAATCACTCTCTGTTCAAAATCAGACGTAAATTTGTAGTAATGAAGTTACCGCTCCCAATCAAAAAAAAATGAGACATTCTTTTTTTTATCAGGATCATCTTTTTGTCAGGAATCTGTAAATTTTTTTGCTATTTGGTTTTATTGTAATTGGGTTACTACAGAATCTCAATGTACAGGGGTTACTGTGCTGACCATATACCTTGGTTTGTTTTGATCAATTCAATATATTACATTAACTTTTCAAAAAAAAAAAAGAAAAAGAAAAAGAAAAAAGTTGGACTTGTTTCAAAGAAATGACACATGTCATGGGCAAAAGAGCTGATTTCACTACACCGACTCATGTTTATCAACCACCCCATTAAGTGATACCATAGGGATGGTGTAAATAACAGGGATCAATCTAATCAATCAAGTTATTCCCTGCCATTAGATCATTCATACTTGTATCAGGGACCACTAAAGGAAGGATCTTAAATCTATAAGAGATTTATTTCCTTCTTAGTAGCAATTTGCGAGGTATTGAGAATAAAAGAGTATATCTAGTGGGATTTACCATGTAATCGGTGAGACTTATGAGATACTACAAATAATTCTAGGTAGTTGTTAGGATGCAATATCTATTTTAGAATTTAGATTTTTATGATATCTTATGACTAATTCCCTTTCATGTGCCATCAGTGCCAACTAGAAAGGCTAGAATGATTTAGGCTACTTGCTAATTAAAATAGGAAAGTTGTTTTAGTGGTAATGAAATTACTATTTATTTAAGATTGTAAGTTCAGACTTGTTGTATTTTCAATCATTTTCTATACTTTTATCCTCTACATTATGGTGTTGTGAACTGTAACTCTAAACAATAGGTGTTCTCTAAGTTCTTTGTTTCATTTCTGCATTTCCATTTAGTTTCAGCAAGCCCTGCCTCTAGGCTGCACCATGTTTGAAACAATTGAGTTCATCCATACACAATGAAATCCACTGAGTTGGCATTTTGAAATATAATTTATCTCCCATGTTGCAAATATTATTTACACTGCTTCTGTCTCAGGCCTCAAGATATAATTTCTCTTCAATGACCAGATCCCAGAAGTTACTGTTTCTCAAGTTTCCCCAAACAAAGGTACTTAACGGTCCAGTCCTTAACTCTATATCTCTGAACACTCATCATACTGCATAGTGTGTATCTCCTCCTTTAGGATGTGAATTCCCATCAAGGTGCTTTAATGATGAGAACATAGAAAGCATCAAAACACCTTAAGGTTCAAGTCCTGCAGAATACATATTATCCGAGTTATGATATTTGATATGACTTACTAACCTTATTAGAGCAGTAAGCCAGCAGTCCCATGAGCCACTCCCCACACTTCGACTCTAGCAGATCAATTTATCTGAGTCTTCCTAAATGATCAATAAGGTGATGCACTGGTGTCCGGCAATTAGTTAGTAAGAACTTCAGCCTCGTTGGAGTATGAGTATCCTATAGGTCCACTAAACCCAAAAGGCTAAGAAGTGATAAACTCTATCAATTCCTTTCTTCCAAACGCCAAATATAACTGCATGGATATGGGCTTTAAAATGAATCCTGCCACTTGATATCAGACATGACTCCTTACCAAGATTACGGAGACCAGGAATTGACAGTGTGATAGGGCTTTTCGTATAGTGGGTGTTGAGTTCTTTCATACCTTCCTTCTCTTGATACAATTTCCTAGTTGCACACACAAAGATGCATATAGATGTGCACAATTAAGAACTAAGTCAGCATCTTATCATAATAAAGCACGAAAGGTTGGTATTGGCCACCAAATTTCCTAAACAAACATCGAAAGCTCAGAAATCCCTGAGCAATTCCATCCAATCGTCACCCTAAACGGACCTAACCCTTCAACCCCCCAGCTATTAGGAAAAGACTTTATGATTAGAAAGTAACATCATTTTTCATTTAATGGAGCTCCTCTCTCTATCAGCTTCTATAACGGCAAAATTTTTGACAGACCAATACACGCATGAGTAATCAATTGATCATTAATTTCAGTGAAAAAGAACAAAGGTTATCAGAGAAGTGATAAAGCACGAAAAACGGAAAACCACTTAACAGAATTAGCATAACTGGAAAAAAATCCATATATAAATAATTTCCATTAAACATGTAAGAACAAGTCGATGCACAGCGAAGTGTAAATCTACGAGAATGGAAATGGCCTAAAGCATCAAATTGAGAAGGTTCTATGATTCTATCAACTAAAAATCGTAAAACGAACCGATGCTAAACAATTACAAAAAAAAAAAAAACTCATACGAAGGATAAGTCCAAAAAATAAATAAGAAACAACAAGAAGAAAAAATATAAGCAAAAAATTGATGAAAAATCAAAGGAATGACAGTAGAAAGTATGGAACTTACCTTCAAATCACGACCAATTTCTAGGGTTTTAGCGGAGAAAAAAAGATTAAAAAAACGTGGATCAGATACTTGGGAAGTGGTCGTCCGAAGTTTTATAGTGTGTCGGAAACTGAGCCTGAGAGAATCGGAAAGGAGAGAGAAAGAGATAGACAAGGACAAAGGCAAAGGCTCCCAGTCTCAGAAAAAGACGCACCGAAAAGGAGAGCGTGTCGACCCTCTCGCTGTTTCTCTCTTCCTTTTATTTCTCTAGTTGTTGTTGTAGTGCTGCTTTCGGTATGTCCCACTTCCCGGACCAATTCCTTTACTTGTTTCTATGAGACACGTGAACGGTTTGGGTTGTGCACTTGTGCTCGTGACAGAGTATGGCTGATGAGTGATGAGCGATGGCTGTAAATAGATCGGGTTCGGGTCGGACTTAGTTGCATTCGCATTCGATTATCACGTCGGATTTGGATTTAATGCACCACCATTTTATTTTGTATAAAATGATTAAAAATAAAAGCAATTAATTATTTTAACTTATATATATATAATATAAATACAACATATTAAAAGTATTAATTATAAATTTTATATTATTATACATAATAATTATATATATATAAAATAATATTTTTTATTTGACTCGAGTTTTAATTCAAGTTCTAACATCAAAATCGAATATAATTAGGTTTGGAGTCCATTTACAGCCCTACTTGTGTGAGAGAGGCAAATAGATCAAATCGAAGTATAAAATTAAGTAAAAATGATCGAAATATTATATTAATGAAACGAACTAGATATTACTCTGATATTGTATTTCATAGACAAAATAAATTAAAAATTATTTGTACGAATCTTTCTTTTGGAAACTCCTGATAATCTTGACCTCGTTAAAATTAGTAAAATTGCAACGTTCAAATCAATTTTATTAATAGACGATATAAAATTTAAGGTTATACTAGTGGGGCCCCATGCATGCATGAAAAGCAACAAAAATTAAATTTCAATAATTTTTTAAATAAATAATGAGATGTAATAATTTGTTAAATTATGTCATTTTTTTGTTTTTTATTGATTTCTTTTAAAATTTAATAATTAATATACGCTTTCTGTTAATTTATGATAATTAACAAAAATGTTCTATTAATGTCTCTTAAATTCTATTAACTAATAAAAATATTATATTAATCTATTGCTTTCTCTTAGATTATGTTAATGTCTATTAATATCTAATTATTTTTTGTTAGATTTCATTAATTTATCTTAGACCAGTCGTTAATGGCCTTCCTCCATCCAAATTTTCTTAGGCGTTCTTTCCATTCTTTATCTTCTTTATTATTTTCTTCATCTTCTTTTTCCCCTTATTATTTTTTCTTACACCCTCTCTTAATTCTCTCCCTATTCCTTCTCTCTCCTGTTTTCTTTCTTTTCCTCCTCCTCCTCTTCTTTTTCTAATGGGAACAAGGTTCAAAATTTCGTCACGTATCAACCGATATGTATCGTATCAGAGCCTTTCCGATACGCCCCTACAGGGGGTGTTTTGGGTTGATAAAGTGGTTCAGAGAGTAGATCGGCCCCACTGAACCAGTTTTGGAAAAAAAAAAAAAACACTTCAAAATAGTGCTGATACACTCTACCAACGTATCGCCCTATATCAATATTTTGAACCTTGAACGGGAGCAAAAATGAAAAATTCAGCTCATTCTGATTCGCCTTCTAATTCAACTAAATAGTAACAATCATAATCCAATTTTCATTCCCAATTAAACCAAACAGATATCAAGAATAAATAATTCCGATTCCATCTTAGTGTGATTGAGACATGCTACTAGAAAATGAATATCCCATCCCATCCAAGACTAGGATGTTGCATGGTCAAGTCATTGACCCGATGCTTTCAACCATATGATGTGCACATCATACACTTCAAAAAGACACTTTTACATATTTGATGGCCCCAACAGCGGATGTGTCCCTTTTAGCTTCTAAAACTAATAGCAATTGTGAGAAAAGTTGATGATAGATCCATGAAAATATATTGGTTCCTACTTCCTATGGTGAAACCCTTATTGTCATCACATATAGAATGATAATATCAAGGTTTTTAAAATTTAGGGTTTGGTTCTTGGGTCAAACGGTCTAATCATTCGAACTAAATGGATGGTCTATTTTGACAAAAAATAAAAACAAGTAAAAAATGGCCAAAATCCATTATTTAGGTTAACAGTTTGACTATCCAAATCAATGATTCACTGATTAAATCAATGGTTTTTTACTAAAGCTCTGTTTGAAAGGAATACAAATGCAAATATGTAGTGTGTAAAACTATGTATTTTGTATTATTTTGTACTGTGCATATTTGTATTTATATTCCTTCCAAACTGAGTCTAAAAAGTTGTTATGAGCTTAAACAGAACCAATCACCTGACCGGTTCCAGTTTTTCTCGTCTAATTTTAATAACATTGATAATATACATTAAACCACTTGATGATAGCATTGTCATCATTCATCATAACCGCCTAATCCATATGATGTATGCCTAAAAAACCAATAACAAATCAATTAGCATTCACATGGCTTACAATTGGTCAAAGTTCTTATGCTATCATATCCTTCCCGAATCATAAAATATTGTAATGATGAGTTTATGCAAAGTTTCATAATCCATCAAATCCTATCAAAGACAATAACAAAAGTTTTAGCAACTTATTACATCATGTGGGAAGGATATAATACTGGAAGAATATTGACCAATGATACCCTCGTGTTGAATTTTGATGAATAGCAAGTTATTGGCTGCGACTTTTATGAAACCGATTGATTGATTATCATGAGGTTGTGTTTGGTTTGAAGGAAAAGTAGGGAATGTTCTTTACAAAACCTATACAAACTTCCTTACCTTTTCCCTTCAAACCAATCATAACCTTAGACTATCACTTATATCATGCCGGTTTTATTTTATCAGCCAATTAAAAAAGTAAAAACCTTTCTCAAACGCCCTTTTGGTCTGTGATATTATTTGTAACATAGATGGAAAAAACTATGATGTAAAAAGGTATCTGACCAATCAAATCCCCTCGTGAATTTTGATGGTTATCACTTTTATGATATTGGTTGGTTTATTGGTTATAAGTTTGTGTGTGTGTGTCATGTCTTTCTAACTAGACCAAATCAGCCCGCCACAAGATTGCCTCCCACAACATCCCACAGCACATCCCCGTCGTGTATTGGGAACATCTCCCGATGATAATCCCATAAATGATGGTGTCATCATCCGGATATGTGTTGTGGGACATTGTGGGGGGCAATCTCGTGGGGGGCTGATTTGAACTTCTTTCTAACATCATAGTCTAACTCATTATAAATTACAAGGGATTCAAGAGTGATGGGCATAACAATGTGCAAGTAGGGGTGAGCAAGAAAAATCGAAACTGAATTGAAAATCTGGTTCGATTCAGTATTTTTAAGAAATCCGACTGGTATACATATATTTCTATATATTTTATGTATATTATATTATATATTATAAATTAATAAATATGCATCATATATAAATACATATAGTATATTATTTATTATTTATTATTCAAAATATAATATTATATATTTAGCCTTTTATTACATATTTATATATTTTTTATAATATATTGCAAATATAAAAAACCAAAAAAAATCGATGAACCAAAATGATAGTTAATTGAACTGATCAACCGATTAATCAATCGGCTTTGGTTCAGTTTCAATTACCGATTTTCCAGAAATCGGTATACCAGTTCAGTTTCAAAAATAGGCCCATGGTTAAATTAATCGAACCATGAGCACCCTTAGGTGCAAATGAGGTCTACTTCCATTGGTCATATTATGAAGAGCCTAAAGTTATACATGGATGTGCTCCAATTCACCCTCTAAATTGATGGGTCATTGACAACATGGTCAATGAAATTGCATCATGCACTCAGAAATCTAGTGTTAATTCCTAACAATCATGAATCCAACTAAGACTCTCGATCTCCTACCCACAAGGACTCTACCCACATCTACCACAACACACTACCTCCGTGCATTGGAAACATCTCCCCATCCATAATACTATGTAAGAGGATGTGATGTTCTTCATGTGTGTCTGCAATGTTATGTGGGTAGATGACTAGACATGGGTAGAGTTCTTGTGAGAAGGATATGGAATACTCTCTAGCTAATACCAAATCCCTATTAATATCTATATCTATACTACTTATTAAAGTGTGAATGGGGTCTACTTTTTTGGAATTTTTATTGGACAAGATTTGTCCCTTCATCTTAATGTCACTCAGGGGTAATTTTGTATATTAATAAGGAAGGTTTAATTGAGATGATTAAGGCTATAATACTCATCATTGTAAAAGTCACATACATGTGCCACTTCATTAACTCTTGTTTGACTAAAATACTCTAATTCTTTAATTTGGTCACTCTCTAATTATAAGGATACAATGAAATTTGAATAACCACTTTTCTCTTCCTTAAAATCCCTCTCATTAACACTTACATGTAAGGTATTAATTCTCATTAACATTCATTAAATCATATTTTTTACTAGAATACCCATATTTTGAATTTGGTCCCCTTCAAATTGTGAGGGGACAAAATGTAATTTGAGTTACTACATTTCTCCTCATTCTATTCACTCTTATTAAGTCTTATATTTAGGGTGTTAATTATCATTCTTTCATAGAATCTTATATTAATTAACCATATTAAAAAAATAAATATGACAGAAATTTGATTTTTATTGACAACATAAATAAAATACAGATTTAAAACTAACTTAAAAATGGAATTGTTTTCATATTTAGTGGTGAATCAATGATTCAACCTATTGGGCCAAATGTGTCACCCCATTTGGTTGAACTTGACACTTGCAAACTCTATCATTTTCCAACCTTCAACTACCAATATAGTGTGGTAAATTGATAAGATGCATTCATACCAAATCCTTCATTGATCATTCCCAAAAGAATATGGGATATTGCACATTCAAAATTAATTTGGAGCTTGAAATGAGTGTCCAAAGGGATGACATCCTCTCATCCTCTTAGACCTCTTACATTAAAAAACAAGTCATTAATCAGCATAAATGCCTTTATTTGGGCAATTGCCCAGATAAGTGCACTTACCAATGTTCTTTTATTTATCAGGTAAAATTACACAATGATTGTTTTATTTATACAAATTTCTTATTTGAAAGAACAATATTAACAAATTTCTTATT